GCCAGCTGCCACTCACGCACGTCTGCCCCGCGGTAATGCGTTTTTGATGTGGCGGCGACGCAAAAAAGAGATCCCCCTGAAAAAAAAAAAAAACAATGGTAGACTATTAATTCCCAAGTGGGGATTAATCAAGGAGTTTTTGGCAGGGGAGATTGGGGCGGTAAGGATTCATCTGAGAGGACGGTTTATAAAACACAGGAAATCTATCTATTAGGTCCTTCCTACTAATTGGTCCTCACTTGTCACTGGCTTCAGAAGGGACCGCTTGTTATGTAGTTCAGCGGATGAACCGGTTGAAAAAGTGGAACGCGTATAGATTTTCTCTTATTTGGTTGGATCGAAAAATGTTAGACAAATTGAAGAACTCCTCATGCACTCAATTAGTTTTTAATAAAGTTTTGGAAATTAGTTTCCCAAATATTGGGCGGCTATACTGTACTATACATGAACACTCCACCAGAATGAGGGTCATTTATTCAAAAATGCATGGGTGTGTGCCAACAGACTGCCTTTGATGTGCAAGCAGGCTGCACTTGCTACATGTATTCTATGACCTGCAGAATCATCTCCGAACCCGCCCATTCATACTGTCTGGATTAGTGTTGGAAATGAGATTGTAACCGGGAAAGGAAACTCTCAGCTGCGGATGAAATTCCAACTGCTTCCAAAAATCTAAGCATGAGAGTGGTTTATCAAGAAGTGATTCACATTCAGTTAGAAATTTTTTTAAAAAATTTTTAAATCCATCACCTGTTGCCAATTCAACTCTCCAAATGAAGTAATATTGAATTCTGCTTTTATCTTGCATTCTAAAGTGAATCTTAGTTTTGGTTTCTGCTGTTTTAATTTAATGTATTCGTATCACCCAGGTTTTAGTGCTCTTGCGAGGCACTTTGGGTTTTTAACATAAGATGCCTTAAAAACATATTATTATTATTTTATTAACAACATTCCAATATGTGTCCAATGTAAAATGTCAAACCATGAACAAAGGAACACCATACAAGTGGCACGCGCTCATACATGTACATGTAGTTTATGTGTAATTTTTTGCACCTGCAATTTGGATTATTTGGTTATCATCAAGCTTCTCCATGAAAAACAGATACTGTGCAATTGGGCTAATGGCATATGTCCACTGTATGTTAACACACACTATCATGTGCGTACACTTTAATTTTGATGATCTAATTAACAAAGTAATTCAAGATCCAGTTCCTGTCGACAAAAAAACCCAAAAAACAAACAAATTGCCCAAGAAGACCAAAAATAAGCTCGCACGTTAGCTACACAACAATGTGTTTCAGAGCTAGTTACCGCTGGAGAACCACTGAGCGTGATCGGCCTGGCGTAGTGTTGCTATGGCATTCAAGAAAATATGGGAGTGGGAGATAGTGTACATAGTAGGTAAGGAACACCTCAGATTTGAAATGGACTTTTGGTGAACCACAAGTGCTCACAGGATTGATCAATTTTCATTTTTTTTTTCAAAATCAGGTCTATTTTTATTCGAAATAAAAATGGAAGAGTGGGTTCAAGTTTTCCAAAAACCTTGGGGGACATTTTGTGTCAGTACATACATGTATTATAAACTATAAACAAGTTTTGGAATAATTTTTTTTCTCAATAAATGAACCTTATGATAGAATTTTACACTAATTGTTAATAGACAATATGAAAATTGGTTTTGCTGACATCATATCACATTTAGAAATAGCTGAGGCTTTGAGCACAAAGAAGTAAAGAGGAAAAGGGAAAACTCTGGACAGGCAAGAACACAAAAACAGAAGAAAACACTCCAAAAACCAACCTGAAAAGAAAGGCCTGAAAAACTAACTCTTAGTATTCACTACCATTTGGCAAAATCTGCAATTGTGCATGTCAAAGACACAATAACTCCATAGACACATACGTGAAATATTTTGTTTTTACAGCATTCTTAACTGTGAACCATCAGATGACCTTAGCAAACCAGTGATTATTTACAGTTAATGCAATGACACTGCAGATTTTACTTAAAATTTAGTCATTTTGCAGCACAAACTGGTACACAGTGGTAAATGAAGTCTAAGCATACACAGTAGTAACAAACTTGTGTCATGTACACGTATGACATTGGGTCTGTCGTTGTGGGATCTCACATACATAATGCACACACATGTTGAGACACAGATAATGTGGGGACCAGATATCAGTGTTGTATTCAATTCCATCACAAGCCCTACAGGTCACAAGTCCCTTCACAAGGCTAGTCACAAGTGACAAGGTGACCAATGACAAAAGAAAAGAAGAAGACTCAGTTCAGTGCAATTTTTCTCAATTAAAAAAAATTCTCGCTTCTTTTTCAGGAATTTTGCATTCAAATATTCAAATTCAAAAATGTATAACAACTGAATATTCAATAATCCATCGAACATTTGGATATTCGGCACAGCCCTCAATTCTATGTGGTTCTGTGCGACCCTAGAATGCCTGTCTGAAATGGGTGTGATACTGAATGACTTGTGATGGACTTGAATAAAACACTGCCAAATACATCCCACGGACAAAGTTTTGTCACCTCAACTCGAATGCACCTTTCTCAGCAGTTCAACGAAAATATCCCCACAACATGGTACAAGCCTAGGCATCTATGTACACTGTACGTGTACATGTTCACATACTCCTGTTATCCACGATTACTTCAGATACTTTTAAACCCATTCTGAGGCTGGACAAAGATTGCAGACAGCAGCGCACTGTCAATTTGTGACTGTTTGGGGCTTGATCTCCATTGTAAAGTTAAGCTCGTAGAATGTGTCATAGGATTCCTTCACAATGGTAGGTTTTGAAGGGTTCAGAGCACAACGCCTATCAAATTTTGGTAAAAATGTTTCATTACATGTACATGTAAATGCGAGTCTGCTGACTCTTACATAGCAACGTGACACTTCTGCATTTCAGGCTACTCTCATGCTCCAAGAAGCAAGCAGGAATTCTCACACTAATAAAAAAAATCAACAAAAGCCAACTATGGTACATAGATTTTTACTCAACTCTTTGTCCTCTCCTTAGCAATGATAGGATTTCACCTGTGAAGGTGTCATGATTTGACTGATTTATTGCAGCATTCATTTCAACCACGCTTTGTGCATGTACATGTACATGTAGGATGCACATTTCATGGCTATCGATCTTCCAAGCTGGCTCCCAGCACCACAGCCATCCCTGTTCTAAAGCTCGGCTCTCATTCCACGTAAGAAGCTCCAAATTTCTGGCCTCCATGTTTTTTACAGTCCACAGTAAGTGGATGGTACATTTTCACTTAATGCAAGGCGTAGCTGAGGTCGTTATTTGAAAAAAAGGTCAAGATGATAATCCTCAGCCTGCACTGGGCAATGGAGGAATTTCCTCTATGTTGCATAAAATTATGTTTATAGGAACTTTGGACATAAATATTGTTCTTATACTGTGGTATTGTACTATACTTTGGACAGCGTACATGTACCTACTTGTATAATTTAAATATTCAAAGTCCTTCCTCATGCAAAGACTTTGTCTCATTCAGTAGATGAGTGCTTTTGTTAGTTTATACAGCAATGGATTGATTTTTGGCTCGTTGAAGTTTGCGTGTCAAATTGGATGCATGTACTTGTCAAACAAATTCCATCTCTAAAAATGTGGCCATTCATGCTCAGCTGGCTTGGCGGGCCGTGGAGCAGGGCCCGGCAATGCAAGCCCAACCACGAGTAGTGCCCGGATCAAGGTGCAAAGACCACGCTGGAAACAATTTTTGTCAGGCTGGCCGACCCTGCTCCATTCATTCAGGCCAGCCAGTGGGCTGAATGAAGCTTCCCTGGCCCACGGCTGTTCGTTCGCTCGACACCCGCTGCTCTAAAGTCTAAACTTCAACCTCGCCGTGGTTGCGGTTGCTGCGCTATAAACAAGGATGTACGCAAACTGCGAGATACTGTACTTCATTTTCATTCAGAGTGAATTAAGAGTCGATACTGTATGTACATGCACGAGTCAACTTTTATTCAGTTTCTTGCTGAAGTTCATGAGTATATTTCTCTCCATACGTATGGATGTTTCCATGAGAGGAAAAGTGGAAAGAGAAAAGTACGTAGGTCCAGGGTATACGTGTATTAATGATTCCTCACTGAAAGTAGAGTTTTTGGGAGAGGTAAGTGAATTACATGAAGATAACCAAATCACCTTAGTAAAATTGTACATACGTACACTATATGCATGGATGATAAACGACCACAACCAAAACCAATCTGTCGTGTAAGAATGTTCAGGTAGATTTCAGTGCATTCAGCCAGATAATGCTAAATGTAAACGGTGGCAAAATTAGAGCTTTGTGTGTACATGTACATACATGTATGCACATGGTTTGCATGAATTCGTTCAGAATATACGAACATGTACTGTGAAGGACTCCATCTTCAACAAAACATGAAAACATATTTCTGGAAAAGTGGCAATATTCTGACAAAGTTTGACACTTGTATATCTTTTAAAACGATTGGGGCGTTACATTCTCCATGTGTGCACAAGGTACATGTACAATTTTGGATACAAATGGTGTGAATTCATCAAATATTTCCAGCATCATTAAAATCAAAATCCTAAACATGATGCTTAAAACTGCCTTACCCCAACATGAAACTACCTCTCAAAATGGACCCAAAACAAAAAAACTGAAAAAGACCATTTCAGATGTCTCACTGCCAAGACAAATTCTTTCCAAATGATGTTGAACCATGCCACTTTGTGGGTACATTATTAAATCACTCTAACCCCAACTTGAACTAAGCATTTGAGGACAATTTTGTAGGGACTCCATGTGAATACATGTATGAATATGTGTGGCTTCCTGTTCAGATAAAATTTCCAAATGAAATAACACTGCCGAGGCATTTCAATGATATGGCTCGGAGTCCGCGTTAACACCGCTACGTCTAGTTTCCTCTAAAAATGGGATTTTTTTTTAAACGGTGAACAGTGGAACCTACCTGGGCTGCCGACAAACTTTGACGGCCAGATCTGAACATTGGCCTTTTCGTCCGTTCCACCCTGTGGATATTGGAATCCGTCCCCCATATCTGCAGTGGAGAAGAAACCCGCCAGCGCGGAGGTTAGTTTGAGAGGGGAAACAACTCAAACCCCCTTCAACACAGTGTAGAATTCGCTCACGTTAATGTTTAATGGTTTCCCCCTAAACCGTTGACGTTGGTCAACCGGCAAAGACACATTAGGCCCGATATGAAAATGAAGCCGTTCTGCCGTAAACAGCAGTCAACAGTGAGAGCATCCTTAATTTGCTGCTCAGAAAAAAAAAAACCCAGAGAGGTGCCTTATCTCAAGTAGATAGAGTACCTGGTTGGCTCACAGTTTGCCCTCAATTTTTTGGTAACCTTTGAGGACACCTAGGCAAATGACGCGACTACTGCAAATTTCTGCGACCCCAGGGGTGAGAAAATAAATCATTCCCGTTCTGACCCGCGAGGACCAAAATTGAACGGCGTGCAGTCAGATATGAATATCAGCGCCTCAGAATGACTGATAAACCCGGGGGGGGTGTCTGGACAAGCAAAGGCTGGACCATTTTGGGCTACGGGGGGTGGCGTCCACTTTTCCAAACATTAAAAACGATTCTGCTGGAGACATAAAAATCCTGGATATTAATAAGTTAATAAGATCCTGTGGTGATTTGTGTACACACGCATATAGTCCTACAGAAGCTACATGTAGCTAGGTCAGATATGATAAGTTAATGTAAATTCACACTGAACTGCTGTTTTGAATTTAGGAAAGAGTTTTGCTTTTTTGTTAATGCACTGGGTGTCCGTGCATACATGTACAATGTACGTTTGTAACAAAACTTTAAACACTTTTGAGTTATAACAAATTACTTACAAAGATTTTAATTTCCAACAAACCCATCAACTATAATAATGAGTTTTCTGAAAAGTAGTGGCACATTGATGGCAACAGGTTCCAGTAACTTGTTCTGATGTCTTAAAATAAGTGGGGTATTAAGGGAAAAAGATGCTGTAACTTTAATATGTAAAACTATGGTGGCTACATGTACAGTACTAAGGCTGTTCCATGAAAGAAACTGAATATACATGTAATAGAATTTGGAAGAATTTTGATGATGAGCCACATGTAAATATTCAAACTGCATCTACTGTATGTACATGTATGCAAGTAAACAGCAGATTATTATATGAAGGCCTTCAGACTTCACAAAAAGGTTACATTCTTCCCAAGAATAAATGAAAAAGAATGGAGATAATTGGGCCAAAATTACCAAACTTGCCCAAAAAAGTCTGGGTCTAGTGTTGAAAATGTAGATTTGACGTAAATGGCATACATAGGGTACCATGTATTGCATAATCACTCTGGGCACAGGTTTTTATCGAAACAATCTTCACAAATAAGAAAGATGCCAAATCGGAACCCATACACGAAACGTGACCCAACTCAATTGAACACAAAACTTGGGTTCAACTAAAAGAATACATGTATTGTGCATAATCATGTATTACAACGAAAACTACACTTACATGTACATATGGCTAATTCCAGAAATTAGGGGTCTAACAGTGTGACATTTTTGTGTCCCTGTTACATCTGACCACCCCCGTGTTATCTGACATGGAAATATCACCGGAATTGTTTTCAAACTTATCTATTTGTTTGGCAGCCAATTTGCATTAATTCATCACTCATGGAAATTAGAAAATGTGTTCTGAACTGACAAAATCATATGTCAGATGTACATGTAACACTTAAAAACAGACCCCCAATTACCCATGAACATACCGTTGCACTGACATGGAATCACCATCAAGACCGAACGTCATACCAACTCAAATCTTCCTTGACTTGATTGTCAACCTCAACTGTGATAGACAGCATTAACAAGTTAAATCACACAAAGCCTATTTAGATTCACACCAAAACACTCAGCAGACAGACAATTAAGTGTAGAAAATTGTGTCTTGGATGCACTTCCTCTCTGAACGTCAAACCGAAACTTCACAACTGGACTATGAATTTGATGTGCATATGCATGTAAGTCACATTCAAGTGTACATATGCACTGTGCATGCATTTTGAACACACATGTGTAACCTCTGTATACTCAGAGCAAAGCCAAACTAAAAAGCTTAACCTTTGTGCATTGGTAAATGCGTGTTCCGATGTGATAGACAAGGCAGACGAGACACCGTATGTGTGCATGTACCTCAACTGTATCTGTATTGGTATTTGAACTTGACCTCTGTGACAAAATTGAAGCCAAACTCAAAACTTCATGTCCAGGGGTTGCACTTGATCAATCTTTGCTCAACCACAAAACCTAAGATTTGCTTTTTGACAGGTAGACATGGTAGAGTACGTGTTCAGGTACATGTACATGCGTACATGCAAATAATATTTGTATCAATGGTATTTGATATCACCTGCAGGTACAGGTGATTCAAAATACTTAGTACTTGAAACAAGATCCTGTAAGTCTACTCCCCTGGTTCTGCACGACTAACTTTTTAAAGTTACATGTACGGAGCCCCTGAAACATTACTTTGGGGAGGGGGACTACACCAAGGTGCTAAATTTGACCTCAAAACTTCTGTCACTAAACAAGAAAAAGAAAAAGACAAGGGAAACTTAATGCGTCGTGTTAGTGAACACAATTAATGTAACTTAATCTGTACATGTAATAGCCAATGAGCCAGTTTGGTACTCCAACAGTGCATGCCCAGTACAAGGTACATGTAGACTGTCCTAACAGTCACTGACTCAAGCACGCACGCTTTGTTCCCGAAATACCATGGCTTATTGAAATTCAGCACCGGCTCATTCTTGGAATCAGCTCTCTTTGAAGTCCATGTGAGTATGATGTTTGTGTATGATTTCATTGGACAATCAACTCCTACAGTGAGAAATTGTTGGTTCTAAATCAACTCTTTTATAGAATGTTTTGAAAATGTATGTACAGATGCATAGGTCCACTACTCGTACAAATTTTTAAATTGGTGGCTCACCGCTGCAACTTATGATCTCTCCACAGAGAGATAGTAGTAACTTTGTGTGGCGAGATGCTGGTACATGTACCAACTTAAATTATTTACTGGGTGCATGGTCCTTATTATACATGTACATCTTTAAGTTTCTGCAACACTCAGTCAAAAAATGTTTTAAAAGGCAAAAAAATACTTGCATATAAACATCTTCATATTAGACCTCAAACAAGAATCACTGAATTGTCACGGTTGAAAAGGCCTTTATATCATCCACAGTGGGATCCATGTAGGTACTGCCAGGAAGTTTTTGTTCTGCTCAATCTCGTTGCAAGAGTCAACTCATCGAGATTGAGTGCTTACGATTGAAACCGCCATTGGTAGAGAATGACACTGGACAAAAAACTACTTGCACCCTGGATTGAGAACAGCAGGCAATTAAGAGAAACCTGAAGCTCTAAGGACTTTACTGGGGTCATTATTGTGAGGATAATTTGAGGGTGTTAATGGAACAGAGAGTCACAGCAGAGAAATTGTTCTGAAAAGAATGAAGTGTGTATTTCCAATACGTCGATGATTTCACAAAATGAGAAAACCTCCCCCCCAATGGTCCAAAACAGACATCTGAGAAAAATGCATTTTAAAATATAACTTATTTCATCCCACAATTTTGACCACTTCTGTTTTACAGACTGGGGAATTTTTGGCATCGTTACGCAAAGTAAGGTTTGAAAAATGCTATCCACAGTTATTTGTAGATTTCTTGTCTTAATTAAACATTAATTCATTCACAAAAGTTTTTATATTTCAAAAGACTGTAAAACCTGAAGGTCTTATTTTTCACCTACACATATTGCACTACACACAGTTTTTGCTCCTGTGTGAGATTATACACGCAGGAAAAACTGTTGGCATTGTTACAGTACATGTACATTCAACATGCTACCGGGTGTTCACGCTCAATATCGTTCGCACTCATGCATACACTCGCATCTTGACTCAACCAGAGCTGTGTTTACTCTCTAGTTTTTCCAAGTAATAAGGAAGTTTTTGTCACTTTGTGAGACCAAAAACCAGGAGACCAAGCTTTTTTGTCAAATGTTTATGTGCAATAATTAAGAAAGTAAACAATATTTGGCTGTAATACTATACCAACTTGTTCCTTGAATCAAATGTACATGTACATGTACCTAAATGGCCGCAAAAGCTACAGATTAAAAATATTGATTTTCCAGGTTTTTGTCACTTCGTGAGATTGACAAATTTTTTTGGGTAAACTGTTCAGTAAGTTACACGCATTGTTGCCAAGTTGTCTCTTCATCAATACGGCCATAGTCATGAGTCCTACTGGTACATTTTCAAAAACTCTCAAAGACAAGTTCCTATTGCCTTCCCCCAAAAGATAAAGTTTCAAATTTGCAGGCAGTTAGCAAATACAACACAATGTAACAGATAATAGGCATATATTTGCTCTGAACAGCTGATGAACCCTAATGGTACCTGTAATCAACTGATCCCAATCATGTGCTCCCTGAGGTTCAAAGACTGCCGACTGCACATACTGTATACACCGTGGACAGAAAGTGGGTTAATTAGTGCACCACTGCAACCAATGATTACTTCATGATGTCGCAAGCATACAGTACATGCGTGCACACTTGGCACAGGCTGGTGAAGTTCTGCGACTCAGGCTGCCTCTCATCTCTGCAAAATGGGATACCAATCCTTTACAACCAGAGTCCATGACCAGATGACATACACGTACATGTAAATGAGTACAAGTACGTTGCCAGCAGACCCCAAAACTTTTTCTTATTCAAATGCAAACATTCTATAGGATAGTTCTTCCGGTTCGTATCATGAAACAGTATGGAATAAGCAGCGTTTCCCTCCATCTGATGAAACAAGCAAAAATTGGTACACTGTAAATGTTTAAACATGCAATTTACAGCATTTCCCTGATTTTCATTAATCCCTCTCCCATCTTTGTTTTTCCCTTTTCTTCTCTTCTCTCTCACATCCAGCACTCCCTTTTTTATCCCGGCCTTGAAAAATTCACAATCAATCATATCTTGAGCTTTGAAGCTTTAACGGTGAAGGTAGCAAGTTAGTTATAGGGGTCTGTGGTAGCACTATGCAAGAATATCTCTATCTGAGCATGTACGGTTCTGAAAAGAACCACAAGTGTGGTTCTTTTCAGAACTTTTCTGAGCATAACCACACATGCTGCGGCAAACCTCTGTAATTGACAATATAGGGTGCAC